ACAGCTAGTATCACTCAAGTTATTACTATCTTTCCTGTAGATCTCCAGATTGGGGTAGATACTGAAGGTGGATGTCATTTTTAGCCCTTCTGCTAGGGTTTAGCACGGATTTTCCTGCACAAGGCACATGCCCTTATTCTATCATTTTAGGTTTAGCAGTTAATAATAGAATTCAGGGTATTTGTCCTTTAGTATCAGATTTGCTAGCTGCTGCCACCAATGTAGTGCTCTGACTTGACTTTCTAGCGAAGAAGTCCCCTTAAGCTGCAAAAGATGTCCAAGCTCGTGCTCCATTGGGCATTAAAGTGTTGTCATCAGTTTAAAACTGAGGTGGCGCAGTGCCGATTAGTATCTAGTGACCGGGCAAACCGGACGCCGAATCATTCGAATCACTCCAGATTCGAAGCCGTCAATCACTCCATTTGAGATGCCTTTAAAAAGGGATTGAGAACAAGTATGACTGAACCACTAAGGCTCTCTGTTAAGGTTAACAATCAAGGACTTTACGACCGATGTTAACAGAGTCCACATGGCCAAAGCCCGCAGGTATTTTAGCTATAGTGTCGAGACTGTAATCAAAAGTAATGTCGGTCCTTTTATGGTTGTAAAAAGATGAATATTGCGCTTCTTAAACCACCCTTCACATCGATGGCGTCACATCAACGTATATGAGCTCCGGCTCTTTATCATTTGATAATAGCTGGTGGTATTAAGCCGCGTTGCGAACAGATTGGCTGAGGTTGAACAGTAAAATAGGCATAGGATTTTGATGTTCAGAGGATAACTGCACACTTTAATTGTTTAATATCAAAACGGTGATGTAAGCACATGAAAATGGATTGCCTGTAGAGCACCGTAATTTTCGCTTTTATCTTTTGTTCCATTTAAATAAATTTCTTCTTACTAAAATTGTCACATATGTGTGACGGAGAGGCTTCTATGGGAAGTTTCGATCTACAGCTTAGGGTCACATGGAAGCTGCTGTTTAAGGGTGTGTTAGCCATATCCTACAAGGTGTAGCGACAAATTTTTTTATGTATTCAAAAAGTGTAACCTCTGGACTGCGGTACTCAATTTCCCTCCGGGGCCTTTATGCGAAAAGGGGCATGGTTTCTTTCGGAAATACTTTGTGTGCACTACATTGGCTGAAATCAGATAGCTTGCTGACTTTGTTTTCCCTCTATAAACCGATTACTGAGGTGGTGCTTTCGCCAGTCAAAGGAAAAAAAGCATTTCAGAGGAAAAATCATGAAATCATACAGCCATTTCTAGAGTCACAATCATTGCCGGATTTTGACAAAAGTTAATTAGAAATGATAAATCCTTTCACAAAGGATTGGTTGATTGAAAGAAATCGTAGATTAAGCGATCTCTTATGGAGAGCTGACAAAGCAACAATAAAAAAGGTAATTTCCTCCCTTAAGAACAATAATATCACCCACTTCACATAACAAATAACCGGCAACAACTACTTGCGAGAAATAATACGGAAACGGCAAGGGCCGATGAATTTTATTAGCCTCAGAGACAGTAACGTGGCGGCTAGCTTTGATGTTCTCAGAATTTATGACCCAACTCAACTGTATTGTCATGTGGTTATGGGTCATCGAAGGCCATTGGTTACCCGCTGATCAAATGGAATTACTGGACAAATATGCTCCATGACTATCCCTACTGGGAAGGGCTAACTTTGTTGTAAAGGGGAGCAGGTAAAGGCGACTTGAAAGCTCATTCATTCTTGTACCGTGAACAGTTTCTTTTTATTCTAAACTTGTACAAGGCATTTGAAGGCTTGCTCACTTCTGTGGTAGAATAGCAAAGTCAGTGATTAGTTTAGGTCTGCTAAAATTGATTTTGAGAAAAATTTTGGGGAAGTGGGAATGTTCATCTTTAATACCATTACTATGGGCATTTTTTGATCAAGTAATTTTGTTTCAAAAGGCCATTAACTATAAACACATAATAGAGTGCAATGAATATTTTGTCAGAGATTCGCATTTGTTCCTGAACGTTTATTTTTTCCCCGTAATAACTTCCCTGCTTAATCCACATTTTTCCTGATCATTTATTGCACATTAGTGAACAAATACCCCCAAAAAACTGTTGTTATTATAAAAGGGACCTACCCAATGGAGATGTCGAAGTATGCATACGCGCTAATCATGCCCTCACCCCCCAAAAATACTTTCTTGCTCAAGTTTCTGAAAATTTTAAGCGATGACCCATCTCTAAACCTTCCAGAGAGTCATAATTTCGCCTAATCCTGCCTGATGGACTATGTCCAGTAGAGACGCCCTCTAACTACCGATAGTACCTCAGGCACCAAGGTTAATCAGTTTATACAAGTACGAGCAAATGGGATCACTCAGACGTAGACGCATTCTCCGCACCTCTCTAACCTTTGCCCCACGCGAACGCTGATTGTACATCCGGTGCGTGCTTATTATGTTGGTCAATAAAGACATTCGCCCTATAGTCTTTGTCTGGCACTTATCTGGTTGGAGGCCTCAATAGGATCCAAACAACTTCGTCGTAGAAGGGAAGGTCATAAAATATGAAACTCTTTTCGTAATGGCTGTAGACAAATTTTATAACTAGTGGTGCTCCAGTTTATAAAGGTCAACCTATGTGGAATCCCAAAAAATTCTTGAAGTGCTTTCGGAATGCCAAGTAACCAGTCACAGGAGGTTTCATAAAATACTGTTGGCTTTTGAATAGGCACCAATGCCATCTGCAATCTTAGTTTTTCCAAAGAGACACAAACTTCACAATCTTGTAAACTGCGCCTTGACCAACCTTTCGGTCTACAGAAACACAAATGACTGACTACAACCATCGGTTTTCTACCAACTGTCCATTTTATCTGCTTAGCAGGGAAAATATGACCCAGGCCAATACGGAGGGTGAGAGTGAGAATGAGGTGAGGTAAGTGAGCATTTTCCTCTCTCCCATCCTAGAATGAAGTGTGGTATCAATTGCTCTCACGGGTGGGTTCCACACCTTGGAGTCAGTCTTGTGTTGTGTTATACGAAGCTTTGCCTCCCTCTGGTTCACTAGTTTCCAACCGTGTTTCATGACTAAGTTTTGCAGTAGAAACTATCTCGTCCTCATTAACTGACCATCTCATGAAGCAAACCTACGTTTGAGGCTCAGCTTTTGACCTGAGGTAATTTTACCGAGAGTTTTACTACATAACGGTACAAATAACCGAGAAACGATGGAGAGCGTAATAAAGGGCACTGGACTGGCAGAGTGATTCATAACAAGGATTTCTGGCATAGGTAAACCATGACTTTTACAAGCTCCTACATGTCACAAGTTTTTGTCACAAAATATAAAAGCTGTAAGAACTAGTCCGCTCCTTTGATTCCTGATCCCAAATATTTAAGTGGAAAAATATATATAAGCTTTAAAGTTTACTAGTCAAGGAGGCTGTCACTTATTACGTTAGTAGTTTCGGGGACCCTGGAAAAACGTCGGAATGTTAGCTCTTCATAATTAAAGTTAGCATCTATCCAGCGAAATATCTCAGCAAATTAGGTTTATTTTACAATCTTCACACTTAAAACCACTAAAAATACAAGGAGCACTTCACCATAGCCAAGAACAGGCGACCCAAACAACTATGCAGATGTGTCTTGAGACCCACAGTGAACATGTTAGAGCCTGCTCAAGATGTCTCCCCTCAAACGAAATTTTCTGCTCACACATACAACCCAGACAACGAAGGTACGAAGTACCAAAAAGTGCGCTAATCATAAGAACATGCACCGGTTTTAATTTGCGTTTTCTTGCAATGGCGCCAAATGTGAATACTTTGAAGTGACATTCAGCGTAAGTCATTGTCGACATGAGATTGTTGCGACTGCGAGGTTTAAAACTGGCAGTTTTTGATGCCCTCTCAAAGTTCCTGATATTTGGACCCGGCAATGCCAAAATTTTTTAAAAACACCGATCTGTTGTGTCTTCCAAGAAAAACCCAATGAAGATAAGTATGCCTCAGTTAGACATAACGCGGTTAAATAAAATTTGTAGGAACAAAGTAGGCTCGGAGCAGGTTTCTCCAGTTTTCAGTCCAACTTTAAAATACACAATTTTGGAGATTGTTATGCACAACAACAGTATTGGAAGGATTGCAGTGCGAATACATTCACTAGAACACCGGCCACTCATTTGATGAGCTACTCCTGGGAAAAGGGGCAATAATGAACGAGGACATAAGTGAATGGAAAAAACCTTCCTCGATTAGTGTTGGGAGAAAAATGGCAGTCAGCTAAAAGGATGCACTAAAATGTAATGGCAAGATAATGTGATAATGCTGCCCTAAATATTAAATATCAGGTCGGTTGTGTGTGGATTAGGGGGAAGCGCGGTATCCCCAGTGGTGGGATTGGAGACAAGACAATTCTTAATACAGGGGTAGTCTGCATGGAGCTCGTCTGCCTCATGCGTTGTGTGGTTTGGGCTAGTGAGCGGTCCATAGTCCCAGGCGTCTTGACTGGCTGCCGGGAATAGGGATGCGATTTTCCTTGAGCTCCTACTTCACTTACATGGGACAGCAGTATCGAAAGTATTTAGTGCAAAAGACGTGTTACACACAATACTTTAATTACTTGCTCAACTCTTCTTTTTGGTTTTGGTTGCAATTTACCTGGGCGGCATGGTCTTCGGGCCATGTCAGTAGTACTCCCAGCCCCTGTGCACTAACATTTTCTTCTTCTGACCTCAAGGAGGTCTTGGGGCGCTGCGTATGATTGAAAGCCGAACACGATCTCCGTAAAACCCTACTGTTATGAAGCCTTAAAGAGATGAAAAGTAAAGATTTAGGGAAAAAGGTTTGGGTGATAAACCCGATCTATCGCGGTAATTTAGTAATAGCCTACAAATAGCTCCCATGAACGAAACTGCCATTTCTCATCACACACCATCAACAAAGCTCCACACCAAAAAACAAACTTGGTAGATCCCTTCCATAGGCATCAGCTCCAAATTCTTACTAATTGCCTGATATAATTACAGTTTATACTTTTCCTATATTTCCAAATAAAAGTGAAATTAAATGATTGAGCGTCAAATATTCAGGGAGCCCACTTTTCTCCTTTTGAAGTGGACTTCTTCAAAATTGAATTGCATTAAGAATGGACGCTTAATATTCCACGCGATGTACATCAAAATGGCTCAAATTTTGTAAATTTTATTTGGTAAATGAGTCATTCTTCAAAGTAGTGCCAATTGCACAGCACCAGCTGGGCTGCAGTGATAAAACTAACGATTCCAGCAACGCACCTTGTGAATTATTTTACCAGGCAGTTTCGCATGTTATCCTACTGTCCCACTTGATTTTTGGTGCTTTGTGTTTGACTGGCGGCGAGATCAAAACAACACTGCTGAAAGCTTTTTAAATGGGGAAGCGTTTTTCCATAATACACTGCCAGAAATCGCTCCCCAAACTGCTTCTCCGAACGCTAGGCAACTTAGTAAATGGGAGCCCAAACTGGAAACATTTGTACAATATAAATGTGAAACTTTGACGTTCATTACTAGGGGGTAGTCTTGCCAATGCCATTGGACAACTCACACCTCACGAACATGTACCGCCAAGGCGTGTCACATGATGTCAATAGATCAAACAACTGATCTGCCCCCATGGGTGAAAGTTAAAACTTGATACAGTCTGTGCAACAGTCGAATAATATGGAATTTGTTTAAAGGTTTTGTTTCAGCCAATCATGGGATACCAGTGGGTGCAGTTTGGACTTTGAAACTATGCCACTCCTTTTTTCGCGTTGTTGCCCGCTCTAACATTTAAAAAAAACCCGTTATTCGCCCACTTTTGTGTCCTCAGTTAACATCAAAGATCGTTTAGTATAACTGGACGTTTTTTTTTTCAAGAAAAGTTGATTCGCTTAACGGGCTCTGGATAAATATAAATGAGGACTATGTAGCGTTCTGAGCCTGGTGGCGTTTTACTCAATTCCCTGTCATGTATCGCAGCATCCAAGCCACTCTCGCAGAAGTGCTGAGACGTGGGAGTGTCGCAGAAAGTATAACACTCTCGCATGGCGAGGTTGAGGAGCCATAGGCAAGGCGGCCGACGTAGTCAGAGATACAACTGTAACTTTACCACATGGCTCCAGCAACAGTTGAGTGTGGTTCACGAAGCCCTACATGATCACCTGAAAAATGCCTTGGTTTCCAGTTCATAATAATTTTGCATGGCCCAGTGGTTATCTCGAGGAAACTTGAATTCCAGCAAACTGGGTCAACCTAGGTGTGACTTTGCATGGTGGAGGTAAAAATTCCGTTCTTGCCCTCGTGTTGCGATGGTTTGCATGACCTTGCCCGCAGTCAAAGATGCAAAGGACAGTATCAGCCTCAAAAACAAAGTGAAGTCTTCCTACGATGCAATTAGAGCAAATAAAAAAAGAAGACAAGGCGAAAACACTCCTTTGAAATAGCAAGCAGCTGTGATTTTGCGTCTTTAGGTTCCTTTTAATTAGGTAATTAAGGTGCCTTTTTGGCATTTCTAGGCGATGAAGTTGTACATCTCCAAAATAAACTTCTCTGCTATTCCCTCATCGCTACAGTTAGATTCCAACTCTTTCGTTACACGAAATCAACAACTCCAGTGCTCATTCCACTTCCTAAATGTAGAAAACAACCAAGAATTCTTGTTCGGGAAAGCTGACTTTATGTAGTAAAGATAACAACTGTTTTGCATAAAGGCTGATTGTCATGTAGGAAAAAAGGTGCTTCTTCAATTAGGGAGAGCAGAACGCTTATTGATATCATTCCTGTTGACAGTTATTATTTGTGACAACTCCTCTATCAAATTATAATATTAAAAGGCTTTTAGATGATACACATGGAAGGCATTTTCCTCCACTTATTTGTGGGAAGCGTTGGTAGTTATGAAGGAATCTCATATCATCTCTGCTACTTCGTTGTACTTCTGCGATCTTGATGCGTACTGTTGAGACTACCGGCGGGGAACTTTAATTTAGCTTATTAATAAATTCTACGAGTGATTAATGGTGGGATTTGATGGATGGGTACAGGGTGTAGTCCCCGCGTTCCTGTGAAGATGTTTCGAGAAATACGCTTCTGCTTACATCACATAAGTGGTGACTGGAACTTGCAGAGATTGAAGAATATGGGTAGGTAAGTGTACAGCTAAAACGAATATCAGCCCGTCGCATAAGTTCCTCTCCTACTGAGGGCCAATCTTGGCGCTCGACAAGAGTACTTCTACGTCAGGCATCACAATGTAATTGGTGCTTTCAAAGACCACTGACGAGCTAAGAACAAAGCTTGTGCATCAATTTTCTGCGCATTAGAGATGGATATTGTAGGTTCCCATGGTTCCACAATCACATCTCTCTTTTGAACTGCATAGCTAGGATGAATTACACGCTAATCGCTATTTGTGGGGATTTTTTCCCTAAAAGCCGAACCTTCAGTAAAATATATGTATATAAGAAGGCTCCGTTGTTGATACTTAGTATCTATCTTAGTAATGGTTCACTCATTGCTAGCCTGTCGTATTCACCCAAATTGTTTGCTGCTCCAACAGGTTTTCTGGTGTAAGTCCCCTCAGATTTAGTGCTTAAATGGAATATCCAGAGGGCTAAAGTATGGTTGTTGGTCAAGTTGATCGAGCCCACTTGCCACTGTCCCATCTGAAGGCCTTATGAAATGTACGAGTCTGGATAGAAAATTGAGGCCAGACACTTGCAGAGGCTGGAAAACCAACGTATTTGAATGTACAATTACAATACATTATTTCCTTGCACGTCAATAAATGATCTTAGAGTGAAATAGTTCATTTTTACCAGAAGAGGATGCTCCATCTTGTCAATGGGGACTCGCCACTTTTGGGAAGGCTGGTCATTTCTTTTTTTTAATAACTTGGTCTCTGTCGTGTCACTCTGGCTCTCGCAATAGGCCCGTCACCCAAATAAATTATCCAGTTGACATTGGTTATCTGGCATTACAAAGGCACTGTAAAAAAAGTACTTTAAAAGTACTACTAAATGGACCTTTATTAATTTAAAATATTGACATCCTGGCTTCCCTAGCGTGGGTGTTTTTGGTCCTCTTTAGACGGATGATCGGGGAGGACAGGCGTGATGCTGGACCGACATTGGAGGTCCACTCAACACTGTAGCAAAAGGCAGCGAGGAGTTACGATAAGACGTCGCTCCAGTAGTCGATCATCAACGTAGCATTGAAAAAATATCTCTCACATACAACGTCCGTTAGATGGGGACTGTTCCAGAGGCGAAAATTCAGGCGCTATAAGAAATTAGGTCGGATTTGTTGTTTGAGCTGAGGCAATCAGTGAAGGGGGTGGAATGCTTATGGGTCAACCTCAAATGAAGGGATGGGGCGGAGCAGAGGGTGAGGATGATTGGGGTTTGCAGTGATCCAAGCAATTATAGTTGTTGGAGCTGTCCATCTCATTCTTGATGCTGTTTGAGGTGCTCTTCGAATGTCTTGACATTTGACTCTGCTTTCGTGCCAAATTTTGGGGTTTGTAGCCCTTGGATCGCATGTAGGAAATCAGCTGCTCGGGAATTTCGGCCAACACCGCTCTCGCCAGCTGCCTTTTCGTGTCCATCACTGAGGTTAAGTTGACAAAGTCGTCAAAGGGAACAAACTGAAAGAGAGATTGGTGCAGAGGGACTGACGGCGTTATCAAAGCTACACAGCCCACAGTGAGCGTATGCATAATGAATGCAAGTACGTAAAAGGTGGAACAATGCAGAATCGTTTAATGGTCCCCATACAGTGTTTTTAAGAGAGAAACTATAACGGTCGGGAGGCCAAACTACTGCATTCTCTTTGAAGTCGTCCGTGGAATGTAAATTTGCGTATGAGCAAAATTTCATCTATTAGACGAAATAAACTGTGTTTTCCAAACCTCTGCGACATCATCATCCTCGCTACCATTTCCGTAAGCAAAATTGTAAGTACGTGCCCCTGACAGCAAAAAACAACTTGAGAATTTTCACAGCAAAACCCGAGAAAGATTAACTTGGCATTTAATTTCTAAAATAATGAGAGAATTCTTTGTCAAGATGTATTTAAGTTATTTTTTTACAAAAATTGAACCAAGGAATGAAGAGTTGGCGGCAAGTTCAAATTTTAAATCATACTATGTACCTAATTTTTTAGACTCCTTAAGGGATGAGCACTGCGTGGTACTGTAATGGTTTGGCTACTTATTTAACTTTTCGTTTTGGTTTCAAGGCCACTTAAGGCTCCGCTTCAGTAATTCTGCTAAGCAGTATGGCCACTGGGCCATGCCACTAGCCTTCTAACCCTTCTGCACACCGGTGGTACAAATTCTGCCCTAATCCAATGACCTTCTTTGCCTTCAACGAAGACTCGGGGTGCCACATCAGTGGCAGCAGGAAGCATATCCGATGTTAAAGGATATCTACCCTGATTTCTGCTGCTGAATGCTAAACCTTAGCGTAACAGCATAAGAACGCGCGCTGTGGGTGAAAAAATCGGTGCCGATCCTTAAAGGAAGGATAAAAAGAGGTGTCAACTTTCGGCAACTCCTCCGGTCTCGTGTTCTGCAGGAATTTTATTAACAACTGAAGTGACAGTGGCCGTGAACCATCTAAGAAAGCTCTCTACGGAGGTGTCCGCGGTACCTGCTTGGAAATGTCAATGAGATGAGCATTCAATATCTCCTCCACCTCTCTATTAGCTGGACATAATCCACATAGATAAGGCCGGGTAGCACTGAACTGAGAACAATACAGTTCTCAATTAGGCCAAAACTTCAGATACAGCGGATTTGCCAGGATGGATCAGTGATGATGTAGTTAAATATCGCCCCAGTTGTATGCAAATTCGATGACTGGTACGGTTGGCTCGTGGGTGTTTTCCCGTGCAGCACCAACGGTGTTGTGGCGCCTGATGCAGAAGGTTGACTAAGGGGAGCGCCATGGACGACGCTCAAAAGGGGAGGCATTACGCAATGCACTGATTATTTGTTCATTTCTTCGTTTTGCTTTCGTAGACACTCAAGACTCCACTCCTGGGCTGCATGACCTCCAAACCAGGTTAGTAGCTCCTCCTCCCTCTAGTTCTTCAGTACACTAGCAACACATTCTGCTGCAGTATTACGTCTTCTTCCCCTTTCAGAAAAGCCTCGGAATGCTACAGTGTGGAGTCCTTTACTTTGATCTCTTACAGAAGCCATTATTTGCTTGAAAATAATTTGAAGGTCAGTCAATTTGGTTGTTCCCTCATCACGGTTTAATTAGTAAGCTTAGTAAACAGTAAATCTCTTCCAAACTTAACATTATTCAAGGGCAAGTGCATCCATATGTGGCGCAAAATTAAGAAATTAACTTGACTGTGACAGGGATTTTGGCAATAGTAGAACCCGAGCGAAAGGCTTGATAGCCTCGTAAAAATCTCACCGGTAGAAGCATGCGGAAGTGAGGCCACAAAGTGCAATCATGTAGACCTAGTTTGCATTTACAGAAAACAATTTTAACCTGAAATATATTTTATGACACGTGCGCTAAATCGAAACATTGACTGAGGGTGCTTTGGCAGTCTCTACCTTGTAAATCACATGTTCTATTCGTGCTACACCTTTATCAGCCAAGTACTAGAACGTAGAGGGAGCTTCTTGCCTTTACATGGGGCCCAAAGCTTGTGGTTTTTCTGCGAATGACTGTTCTACATATTTCATTTAAAAGACAGTAGTGACAAGAGTGTTTAAAATTGCTCATAGAGACAGACACTATGATCAACTAAGCCACACGTGCGTGTTTAGTTGGTCCAAAGAAACCTGAACGATTGTCTTCAGATACCCATCGCAGGAGGAAACTCGTTGAAAAAGGATGTGAATCATACAAAAAGCCAATTTTGTAAGAAAAACTTGTTGTGCAAAGTGGTTATAACCAAAACAGTACTCTGGACAGGAATGGAGACAAGTCAGCTCGACACTACTCAGGTAATCTGATAAAACTAGTCTTTCAACATTCGAAAGTGCAAAGTCCAGTAGCTGAGATAAAATCAAATTCACTAGTAACGCCGGTTTCATTATTCCAACAGCGCAATTCCTCTTTTGTTAACGATAAACACACCGGGAAGTCAGAGGGGATGGATTTTAAAATGAAAAATAAGTTGAGATACGCATGCATCGCAGCAAAATTCCTTAATCTGTTAAAACCGGAAGTTGTTTAAGTGTATGACCAAAACGATTTTATTACGTAGTATGAGGGAGAATTACCTGAACAATATCCCTGTCGGCACGTCGGCCCCTTGAAGTGAGGCGAATTTCATCACCGTCCAACTCTTCCATAGCGGAGAAATCGGCCGCTCCGATCCCCACGATAATTATACTGACTGGAAGCCTCGATGCCTAGAAAAAATAGCGCCAGATATGTAAGGTCTCAAAAAAGGCTCATTCAACACAGAAGCTGATCCTCGGTAGTCATGCAGTTTTAAAGAGATTTTGCTAAGTTGTGCTAAGTTGGATGGACTAAAACACCTTTTCCTTCATTTCTGTGTAAAGCCTTTTTGCAACCCAAAACAAACACAATGGGGTGTGTGAGAATCAAGTTTCCTTTGAGAGCTCATAAACAGCTCCAAATTTAGCAATTAATTAGTTTGCCATTTTCGTATTTATCATGATAGTCCTTGCCGATCAAAGTGCAATCAGCTTCTCGCTACACCCACCATTAACTAGCAGTGGCAGCACCACTTAGAAGGGAAAGATATCACAGCGAAATGAAAGCAGGTCGTCCTTTGCATATTTGCATGATTAACATTTAAACAGGTTAAGGGCAGTAGACGCCCTGGAATGGATTTTGAGTAGCTATTTGGGCGTGCCATGAAACCAACAGGAAGGAAGCGCCTCATCAAACCATAATACTACCCCAAATGTCAATATTGAGGCCCGTTTCATAGACCTTCTCTCCAGTTGCCTTTTTTGACACTATAAATCCAATTCTGTGAATGTTTTACTCAGTATTGTATCTCAAAATGTTCCCCAAATAAGAGAAATTGTCCTGCGGGACAGAATATTGAAGAAATAACCTGTTTTTGTTTTTAATTTAAGACTTGAAAAAGATATTGATGGTCCATTGTTTGTGAAAGAGCATTTTTGTTAGAACTCGTATATTTTGTGTATTATAAGTGAAAGTCCCGTACTCTTTACGGAATCACTTCCAAGGAAGTATATTGTCTTGGGTTTGAGGATAGCTCACTGCAATACCTAGTAAAATCTGCAGAAATTCGTGAAATGCTATTACTTTTGTCTATTATGAAGCAGAAATATGGATCAGCCTATTACGTTCCTGGTATTTTGGACTTTCATGACATAAAAAAATGGTTACAAAGCTCAGCCTCTGAGCTTCTGGTGATGTGTTTGTATAGGGTTTAAGATGAAAAGCAGTGGCAGAACGCATCACCTAGAAATGGTTCAGGTATGCAATTTGATTCTGGTGCTGGGCCTCAAATGTAGGTAGTTCGTATCCGTAAAGACTCCCTATTCCTAATCACCAAGCTTTTTGTATTGCTGGCAGTTGAAATAAATCGGGATCGATGCATAACATGCTTTAACCCATAATGCGAGACTTTCAAGACGATCACTACTCTTCAGCTCCTTGACACACAGTACAATAACTGGTTGTCCCCAGAGCGTTTGCCAACGGGCTAGTGAGGAGAAGTGGCTGTGGGCTTTTCTGCTACAACGTTCATTAAGCGAGACTACATCGTTGGCTGCCTTCAGACGACACACTACAAACCTACACTTCTAGGGGAACAGATGGTAATGACGCTTATCTGAAAGCCTAAAGTACTTTTTGAGATATTCTGTGGCCGTTTGCTTGGCATTGCAAGTGCACCCCATGAACTACCTTCGTATCCTTACATGCAATTAATTTGTTAATTAATGGAAATTTTTTTGCCAAAAAAAGTTTTACCAGGTTTTATGCCTTTCTAAAATACTTTTTGTGGTTTAACGTAGGCGGAAGTGAGCTTTTTAAGATTTGAAGATTGATGAGTCCTTGATATCAGGACGCCAATTGATGGGAGTAAATTGAATTCCCAGCTGAGGGAATGCAAATTTTAAGCGAATAGGATAACACTGCATACTCTGCAATTAATTTTTCGCCTAGTTATTATCACCAAAAGGCAGCCCGAACAGCATGAAAATGGGGACAGTTTTTGCGCACATAAGGTTCCATGTAGGCCTCGATTAAAAGATGCCAGTTAAAGATACACAAGAGAAGTGATATCGACGTTGGTCATTACGTCCATATTCCATAACGAATGTGAACAAAAAGTTGCTTATTTGTATTAACAATACAAGTGCAGTGAAATTGTAATCAGATTTTAGTTATCCACAAAAAAACATTCAAGAAACTGTTTGAATAAGGCAAGGGATTAGCGTTCTTAAGTCGTAGTCTTGTCTTTGCAAGGAGACTTCCACCTCAGTGCAAAGTAATAAACCCTTTTTGTGACGAGACCAGCTATTCTTTGTACATATAAGTGACTACGTTTCGAGGAATTGATGAAAAATCAGGTGAGTGGGTTTGCCCTTTGAAAGAAAAATCGTTCCCATTTTGAATGAGGAGTTTGTGCCTCACAAAACATGGCCAACAGCATTCGTGATGGTGGTGGGGGGGTGGGTGCATTGCATGTCTGACTATTCCCCACTGTTCACCAGACAGCACCTTCTGGCGCGTTGTAGTGATGCTAGCCACTATTTGTTTGACAAGTGTATTTGTTCCACCTATTCATAGCAGCGTTGTTCGGGACGCACATTGCCTCCGGGTTCACTAAACATTTTAATTTTTAATCTAAAAGAAGACTTTCCAAAAAAGTTGGTGTCCGAAATAATCTCAAATTGCCAAAAATTAAAAAAAAAAAAACGAAAAAAGTTAGGCAAAAAAGGCAAAAGTGTGAGATAATATTTCAAAATAAAGTATACGGGAAATTCTTCTTAGACAAAATTGTAGTTTGTGTGTAAAGCTTACATTTACAACAGCTGCCTTGGTCTGCGGCATGTCACAGATGATGCCGTCAGTTAAGATGAGGAGAATGTAATACTGAGATCCGTCGTCGGTTTGCTGAGCCAAGCTAAATATACGGCAGATAAATAATTGTGCATGGCTTTAAAACCAAAACCTATCAATGTATTTCGCTACTATCCGCCAACGCATATAACTCCCGTTTTGTTTGGATTGGGACCTAACGAATGTGTAAAATCTGCTAGAAGGTATGGCAGCTTCGCTTTGTATAGCTAAACTCGTTAAAGCTCCTCTGATAGTGTGTTAAAGATTTACTACCCTTTTAATAAAAATTCTTCCTTGACTGCATAAATAAGTATGTAAGAATGTTTGAAAGGTTGGATAACAGAGCCTGGTTATTCATTTTTCACGACGGGGTTAGTGTGAGATAGGCAGGAGGATGGATGATGGACAGCCGGATAGAAAAGGAGAGAGTAGATAAGCAGACAGATATGCATAATGTGGAGAAAAGAAGAACCTCTTTCTAGCAAAATTTAAAACTTATTACTAGAGTCTAATATTATCATACCAACGCTAGCCTGCAAAACACGAAAATAAAAAGAAATAGAATACTTACATGCCTTAGTATCTATTCGTTACATGGATTTTGCAAAGTCAAACAAGCGAAATATTCTCTTTTTACTGTAAAACTACTGACATCGTAGGCTTGATAACGCGTCCATTGCAGTTAATTCATCATATTTCGGCATGCATGAAGGCGCAGCGACAATGAAATCAACCACTAACAAAACAAAAGTGACAAATTGGTGGGAGGGTATTGCAGTCCCTAAATTGTAACCAAGTTACTTAATTGGAGGTAGTTTTGGGAACGACAAAAAAGACAATAATTGGAAGGAAGGTAGAGCAAAGTGAAAGTTTTCTGGAGATTGCCAGGTAGACAAATGAAATTGGGAAAGTTGATATCATTGTCACTTCACTTTTTGAATTTATAACTCGAGCCCTTTTGGAGTTATCAAGCCGAGTTACTTATTGCTGTGTTATGCTATCATCTCAAAACTTTTTCTCTAAATCAAGCAACAGAAATGGAACACCGTTCTATGGTAGAGAATCCGTGCATTCCTCCGGCCCCATTATAAATCGCCTACACTTTGTAGTGGTTGCATTAGGAGTTGGTTAGAAGTGTGTAGATGCTTCAGGATATAGGACAGTGAGGAGGAGCTAATGTATTTAGAGTCATAGAGGTGATTTTACATCAACTCTGTGTTTGTTAAACATCCTGTTGGATCGTAACCCAACTTCTCACTCAGTGGAATACTATTAATGGCGTCAATGATGATATTTTGAGGGCAGATGCAATTTCACGTGCAACGTCCTTTCCAAAGTGATAAAATTGATTGAATCCGCTTTCTCAATCACCATTGTAGGTCAATTCTACTTAATCGGTGCTTAATTTCAGGACTATGAAAGTGTCAATTTGAAATACCTAACACATAGCAGGCCAGCTATAGCAGAAAAGGTACTGAACCTTCCAAAAATATTGTAAGCATTGCGATCTGACGGTTGATTTAATTTGCATTTAATAAGGTAGGCCCTTCACTCTCATCAATGTTTATACTTTCATCTTAGCGGCATGGTATTTTGGCCAGGCCTGTTGCCTCGCCTATCGTACTTTAACAGTAAATCTGCCACACCAATATGACCTACCACGACCCCAGGGAAGACTCGAGGCGCCAAGGTGGTGGCAACTACGAGCAAACCCGAGCCACAATAATAGATTTAACTAATTTTAGTAGAATTTATCAATTAAGGGCCCAAAAAAACACTTGAATATCACCGTTGTGACGAGTAACTGCAATCAGAGACTGGCTACTGTTGAATGTCAACTTTTCTTCCCAACTTAATAAAGCTCTGAGGATAAAAACCTACTTGGCCACTTGAGTGATGATTGGGGCGAAATTGGTTGGTCCGTGAAGGGTGACGGTCTGCAGAGCGTAGCGGTAGGCCTCCATGACACCAGCTATGCCCTGGCAAAAGGGATTCTCTGGGTGGCCATTCTACACAAGGGAGGAGGATAACTTGTACAAAACAAAACACGTTTAGGGTGAGGCAACATTAAAGTACGTTTCGTGCGGTAATATAGTGGAAAAATTAGATTCTATATAAAAACCGAATTTACGACTACTGTTTTGGGTGCTTTTGCTGCAGAATAACCGCAGAAATTGAGTCAAAAGTATATAATCAAAATCCTTTGAAGAATCGAAAAAAATGAGACCCAAAGTGAGTTTTTCGTGGCCAAAACTCCACTTTTTCAATGACAATTTCTACAAGTGTGTCTTTGATGGTGGTAAAAACGCATTTTGCTATCGCTAATAAGCACGCAAGCTTGGGTTCTGTAACTACCCCCACAACTTGCCACTTTGCATGATATAGCGAATTCATCGACTACTTTAATTAATCGGAAAAGTAAAACCACCAAAGTAGACACGCAGGAAGTTTTCGTTACGGCTAGGTCAGATAATTCAACACCAGGCTGACATGCACCCAAGAAAGTTTCTCGTGAAAAAATACACCGAATTTGTCAGAGCCGTGGTGAGATACACCTGTAATACTTTGATTGCTTGTCTAACTTCGGGCCATTTAGGGCTCCGTCAGTGTACTTCTGCCAGGCGGCCTGTCCTCCGGGCCATACCAATAGTCCCTAAGCTCTTCCATGCGTCAGCAATGCTTGTTTAACTCGAGTGGTATGTCTCCTTTCGTCTTCAGGGAAGTTTGGGGGTGCTACGCCTCCTCGTGGTTGTAGAGTAGGTAGAATACATGCAGACAAGCAGTTAGGCACTTATCCATCACTTAGAAGCTGATCATATCAAGTTACCAAACGAAATTTCCACTAGGAAAAGGGTAAATGCCAAAGAGTAAAACATGGAGGCTGAAACTTGGGCACAACGGTGAGTTGTAAGAAAATCAGGCCTTTGTTAAAAATATTTGGCCTTACAAAGATGCAAATTTGAAGAGGACAAATTTGCCTTGATGTGTATTACAAGCTAAAATGACACATCGCGAGCCTGCTCATTGTTTTTGTTGACTTTGGCACAAAAGTAATCTGGTTCTTTAAGCGTACACCTTAACAAATCGCTGTGTACAGTCATTTCATTTGCACTTGCATACATACACATTAAACATTGGGAACTGAAATTAAACTTAAAGCCTTGTAAACTGTTCTCGTTTTATTTCTGCTACATTAGATTTGATGAAAATACTTCATAAGATTGAAACTGTAACTTCCTGAGAAAGGAGGGACAATGAACCTTAAGGCATGGAGGATGACCCACATCAAGTCAGGCAAATTTCAAATTTTTTTATGTCATTTTGAGTAACGAATTGGGAACAGCTCCCGCTGTTACACGTATATTCCATGTTTCCAGTTGCTACTCCCATTTTCAACTTAACATTTTAAATAAATGAATAACTATAAGAAATTTTACATGTAACAATGCGACCTCTTCCACTTTTCTGTCATCTAGTTTCCACGTCATTGGGGTGGAGCCCTAAATACGTCGTCAATTTCGCTTATATTTTAGCTACTCTTCGCGTTTATCAAAATCCATCCCCCAGACACGCAGACCTGGGGTAACTTCGGTGATACATCATATGAGAGATAAGAAGGTCACAGAAAGAGGAGATCTACTGTGGATGGCTGAATCTGTGGAGACTTGCAGGAGAAGAGATACTTAAGTGAACTCGGTCTCAAATCCAGCATATTGGGCATAAACAAGGTAGGGACCGGATTTCAGAAAACCAAAATCACCTGTGAAGGTAATGCTTGGTAAACCAACATGAAATTAGTGCCATATAACCATAGAACTATTCCAAATAGGTGAGTGGACACATCTAAAGTGGCATCAGAGTAGAAAGGAAGAGAGGAAGCTGGACATACATCTGAGGTGTTACATTAAAGAAAAGTGCTTTGAAGGAAGGCGACTGATATACGGGGCACGAATGACTTCCTTCCTTGCTTCGGAGCATAGGGAAATCAATGTCATCCCTAAAAATATCACTAGAATGATGTAATATTGCGTGTTTTCATTCGCACACAGGAGAAATGCGTTTATGCGCTTAATTGGTGAAGAATTAATGGATGTGCGCTACATAATAAAATTGCTTAGTAATTACCAGCACATTTTACCATATTTTGAGGTAATTGCGACCACTAAAGTGCACATGGGAGGGTTTCAGGTTACTTAATTCCAGCCAACCACTAATTTGAATGTGGGAGGAGGAAATGAGGGTGTCTTACCAAGGGAAAGTTATGCGAAACGAGATTATCCGGCGGTATCCGTGCTCCAAATCCGTAGGCAGGAAAGAGGTTATCACTACAATTAGAGCGTAGCACTTAGTGTTCCCATCTAACGGAGCAACTAGGTATGCATTAGAACCGAATAAGCAAAATTATGTTTTTTGTAGTTAAAAGACCAGAAATCAACAACCAAAACGTAGCTATGTTTGATCACCTATATTTAAAGGAACCTGGACACGAACATTTTGGAAGGTGGGGCATACTCTCCAAACATAAGAATTCTCCTATTGAGGGCAAATTGTGTTTTTCCTTCCACTTCATTAATATTAGCAACAAAATAAAACTCCTGTTTTGCCTTTTTACACAAACTTTCGGACATCTTTCACACGCGTGTTCTTAAATGTAAGAAAAGTGGATCAAAATAAATGTTTCTTTAGAGAAAGGGAATAAGTTTGCGTCGCTTATTATAAACAAACACAAGCAAATAATCGGCTTTGTAAATCTGTAGCTGACGAGGTATGGCCGAAAAAATGGGCGAAAAATTGCAATGTTCTTTCGAGTCCCTTTCACAAATACGGTTGAGGTTGTTGCAGTTTTAACTTGTTAAACCAACAAGGTAGGCGGGGGTAAACCCGGACTTACCAAATTAGAGTCGCGTTCTAAAGGTTGTATAATGCTAAAATTGGCAGAGTTTTTATAAGCTATTCGAATTTATAGGAATGGAAATGAGTCAATCCTGTGTTACAATCAAATTTCAAAGTGCCATACATCTGTGTCGAAATTACGTTACTTCAACGGGATATTATTCTGTAATCTTCGCGGCTACTTTGCTCTATTTCAAAGTGCTAAGACGTAAAAATCAAAACAAAAAAGTTACAAAAAAACTCATTGGCACATCGGCATCTAAAACGAATGGGCGTAAAACCATCAAATCCAATTTAAGGTGTGGCATTTGCAACGACTAGCTCTAAGGTAGTGCGTGTATTACAATACATTGGTTGTTTAACTCGGTTTTGCCGAAGGGCCACTCCGGGTCTCCGCCGTTCTACTTAAGCCCGTGTGGGCTGGCACCCGAGTCATGCCAGTGGCCCGACCCCCTCTGCATGTCGAATGCAAATATTCTGTTTTAGTATTAGGTCTCTTCTTTTGTCTTCAGGAAAGCCTCAGGGTGCTACAATATAGCGACTTCATCTGATCAATAAAAGAAATATGGTCCAATCTCAGTTAGGCATATTGTAGGCTCGAACTCACCAAATAATCGGTGAAAGGGAGCGACTAGACTTCTTCGAGGTCTTAAATTCTCTACCACCTTAACTTGTAGCACCGAAACCTCTCAGTTGGTGGGCTACGCGCGCACTAACAAATCGATAAATGGGGCAACAGGTGCAGCAAAAAACCAATAATTCGGGCAACTGGGGCGGGGGGGGGGAGAAGTGATAACATTTTGCGCTAATTCGTCTTGCGGTGACGCAATTACAATCAAATGCAAGACCCGACCTGTCGTAATCGCTGATAATCTCTCCGACCGCATGCAACGCGACAGCGTATTTGGAAAGTTGGTCCCGCGTGCAGAAGTGAAGGGTGCCAGGCACCTGGGGGCACCCATTGCTCGCTGTAAAGTCAATGGCAATGCAACAGCTGAGTTCCGTTCTGTAAAAGCACAACGAAAAACTCACATTTATTTGAATGGCGAAAATTAGGAAAAACTTTCGTCTTTCGTGGCATATTGCTGCTTTGGAGATCATCCTAAGGACTTGGGTTTTATGGTTATGCATGATAACCAGTCCGCGATTCACCATAAAGTACATGTACTCAGAGATCCACCATAGAAATAAAGTGGGAGCAATGGCATATTTGGCGGGTTATTTTCCACTTTGTCCCTTAAATATTAATCGTACGCATTAGAAATTTTGGTGCATAGGTGCATAGGTTTTTGTGGCAACTGGAGACCTCACTATTGATTGCTTAACAATTGTGCTTCATAGGCCTTGTTTAAGACCAAAATAAAACGATATAAAAGTGCTAATTTCAATTTTTGTCAGACATTTCCTCTTGTTCTTGAAACTTACACGAAGCACTAAAACAGCCTCGATTTTTAGTCTGGTGTAAACTCTGGTAGAGGTATTAAGGAGAAGCATTAGTTCGATGCAAGAGAACTGGTAAAATGTATATCAATGGAAAACAACGACAGAGTTCTATAGTGACCCACAATTTTTAGCGAAAGTTATTCTCACCGTGATGACCTAATTTTGCCAACCTAATTTGCCTTGCTACCACTTAAATTTATTGAAGCAAATTAATTATGTCTGAAGCATTGAGCTTTTGGCTTTGCGTAGTCTTTAAAAAATGCAATTTATTAGTCTACTGCATAGGAGAACGGTGAAATAAAAAGGAACTAAACTTAGTAGAGGTTCCGTTTTTTCACATTTTACGACCGCTGTAGTCCAAGTGAAAGATTTTTGACCCCAATAAGTTGAGTTTGGATATTTTGTCCGGTCCCTCATAAAATGAAACTAGAGTGCATTTGATAGGAGGTTTTGCTATTCCGCTTCATTAAATCTCATAATGGCTAAAGGTAACTACATTCAACGAACAGTAAAATAGTAAGCTAGCATGACATTTTGAACATTTGTTTAACCCTTCGTTTTGATTTCGGGGGCACTTGGGGCTCCGCCTTTGTACTTCCACTGGGCAAAACGGTCTCCGTGCCATGCTAGCAGCCCCCAGCCCTTTTCTACGTCGACTGTGCATATTCTGCTCGAGTATTATGGCTTCTTTCGCCCTCAAAAAAGCCTCGGATAGCTACATTAGTTATTAAAATATGAACGCATTAGAAAGATTCCAAATATTTCCAAGGCGTCCCCAGATTATTTTGGAAAATTAACAGAAATACCTTCCAAAGATATAATCTAGAGTGTGTAGCAGTGCAAGTTTGCCATAGGCTGGAAAAAATGCATCGTTCGAATATTCAATACCCATAATTTTCCTAGGCGTTAAGTTCAAGGCCGTTTTTTTCTGTTGGAAATCAGGCCACATTTTTTGTAACTGATGTGTAACAGCACGATGCTGACAGCGAAATAACAAACGGTAACAGTTGTTTGTACCAGGACGCGAACCACTCTGCGCGTCCTCCTGCATAACATCGACGATTATACTGTAAGTACAGATTAAATGATAAAACTTACCCTCCTTGCACGTAGTCAATGAAGCTGTACACCTTTTCGATGGAGACTTCATTAATCAACAGCTGAAAGAGATAAAAGCGGCTTTTAGTCAGTCCTTCCTGTGCTCATCATCACTTCACGATTACGGGCCGATTTGCTCATATTTAGCCAAATATTTTCCCAAAGTTCCAAACCTTTAGTAAGTTAATACCTAAACGAGTGAAGGGTGGTAAAAACTTAATTAATGCTGGTGGTCGAATACGTTGGCGGCACCGCCTTGACTTCTTGATGCATCCAAAATGTGTTTGCGGCGTACCTACGCCTAGGGCAAAATGAGTTAACAGTGTACAATCCATTATGGAATCACTTTGCTGTTACTAGTAAAGATCAAATTGGAATATTTCTTGTCACTTGAGTGGAAAAGGCGATCAATTGTGGAGTCTTATGCTTCAAGACCTTCGTTCTTGCTTCGTTACGCACTTCCTATCAATTGATTCAGTTGAAATTTTGCAAAATTGGCGCTCAAGTAAGCCACTTCCTTTCAGTACATTTTATTCAGTATGGGAAATTACACTTCTTTGTTCAGAGTGATCATCGTCATAAGTAATTTTTCAAGTGACAAGCGACAAGAAAGAGCTCGAAACGAAATCCACGAATACTTCTCCTCAGAGTTGAAGTCATGAGCTGACGTCATTAATCATTGATAAATGGCTTTCAAAGAATTTTTGCTAGTCTTACGCCTTAATATGGTTCCATCAAATTAGAACATGTTAACATAATGGTTATCATTACCTAGCATAGAAGCTAGAATGCCCTTCGATAACTCATTTCCTTAGGATCTGCAGAAAGGGTTATTCACTTAAGCTCAGTCGCTTTAAGTTTCCTTTGACAGTATGAGGGCAGGAAGTTGTCACGAGAGTGGTTAAAAGTGACACTGGGTAGGCTGATAGGTGGACATATAGGGCGAGACAGACCGTATGGGGATGGGATAAAACTTGCGACACCTACCACACCAGAATTAACGTAAGCCTTTTTTCGACGCGCTTTCTTCGGGTGGATAAGCTAAAAGAAAAGTAGAGCAACTTAATTTCATCAATTTATTACTTATTCGAAATAGGTAAATGATAGAATCGGATAATTTAGATTGGAAACGAGGTCCTTTATGCTGAAATCCACCTCATTTGGAATATTTCAGTGTTGCCACTAATTCATGCATAGCATATCATTTGTTGATGAGTCTTTATTATGTAACGCTTCAAATCCTTGCCATCTCCACTTATTAGGTTGCTTATCTTCCTGTCCATAGAAGCCTACACATACTACTTGACCAACATGCTAGATCAGTCTCTTGTGACAGGTTAGATGGGGCTCCCAAAAGGCTAATTTTCAGTCACTTCTATTCGACGTACTTTAAACTATACGGCATAAATTCCACTTCAGATCATTATTTGGGTCGGAAATTCCTCATTATAATCCCTCCCCTAAGAAGCCGGCTTTGTAATTAAGTAAAAAGCCACTTAGTTTGGCCAAAATTTGCACCATTATTTTAGGCTCCGGATACGTGACTTCTTTGTGAACATCTATGGAATTATGCATTAAACATCCATTATTTTCACCCACATATAGGTGTTTTTTGCTAACATTTGTGCGAATTTAAAAATGTCGTTGTAATACTTTGATTGTTTGCTTAACTCTTCATGTTAGTTTTGCGAGCATCTAAGGCTCCGCCTTTGTACTTGTACCCAGCAGCATTGCTTATGGGCCATGCTAGTAGCTCACAGCCCTTCTGTAGTCGGCAATACATGTTCTATCCAAGTATCATCTCCATTTTTGACTTAAGGGAGCGACTCGGGGTGTTGCGATTATTCTCGTTGACTGTTCAATCGAATAATTTGCTTACAAATCGAACCATCACTTTGTTTTTAGGCAGTGTGGTACCGATGGGGTTCGTTACTAATTGGCGTTTGTTTCGTGGAGTTAGACGCACCTTCAAGGAACAATACAGCGTGAGAGTAGATTTTATCTCAAAACAAATATAAATAACTTTCAAATTTCCACATTTCTAGTGTTTTTTAAGGAATTAAAATACTAATTGCGGTTGACAGTCATTTCAGAGTACAGTAGTGCTCTTGATGAAACTACAAACGAAAATCGCCAGAAATGACGTAGATCTGTCCTTTGTATTCTCTACTAGAAAGAATTTGGAGTCCCTAGAGGAATTTACTAATAAATGTAAATAAATTCAAATATCATACGAACAACTGAAAACTACAAATGAAAGATTAGGGATTGTTACGAACTAACCTGGCGAAAACATATTATTAGTATACAATAAGACATTGCTAGTTATTTGATCAAGTTAGTGAGAATAATTTACACCTAAGACGGCAAAAAATCATCCCATTTTCGGTAAAACGTAATTCTTCGCTGCAATGAGGCACTAGATGCAATACAGTTAACTGCGAAGCTCAAGTGATCCATGTCATGCCCATTTGGGATCAAAAAAGTTGGTGATCTTACAACCAGCACCCGAATGAAAGG